TACCCAAAAATTTCTTAGAGAGAAATGTTTTGGGCCTCTTTCTTTCTTTCTTTCTTTCTTTTTTAGCTAGGGAGGTCCATAATTTGGGAACCTCGTATTTAAATACTTTGACTCTTATGGTATGTATATAATACCACCATGTTCTTGCTATGCACTGCCCTTCAGTTATGCAGACCAATTTTGATAAACCTGATAATTCTAGAATATTCACAGGGATAGAGGCAAAGGCAAAAAAGCTGCATCCTTTGAACTGGTTTTGCCTCATGCTGCCAGCTATTAACACCAAGACAACAAGGGGAAATTATTCCCAACCAGAAAAAGTCCTAAGGAGTAATATGAAATTACTTTCTACTTGCATTACAAGGGAGCAGTTTTCATGGGAACACAGGAAACTCCTTATACACAGTCAGACCATTGGCCCCCAGTATTGTCTACATAGGAAACCTCAGACCTGGGGGAAGAATGAGGCCCTCCAGACAGAGGCGTAGTGTAGGAGGGGGCTGCTGGGGCCATAGAACCAGGAGCATTTTTCGGGGGGGTGTTGGCAGGGCGGCATGAGGAGGACACAACAGGCATGTGACCTTCCAATCAGTTCAAAGCCCATCTGTTCATGGAGACCAAGTCTGGATCCAACACTTTCTCATCTCTGTGATTATATAGTATAGGACAGGGTTCTTCAATTCTCCTATGTTTTTACTTTGAAGCCTACAGGTGTACCAAGGGAGGGTTGGTGTGAGTTTGGTAGGGATTGCAGAGGTCAATGGAAAGTGTGTGCTTGCATTCTTGAGGCATGCACAGCCGACGTTAATGAGGAAGGACAGAGTACAGTGCTGTTGTCAGATGGAAGGTGTGTGAGACATATACTCAGGAGTTTCAGCACATGTTTCAGAAACACTGTCTAATGGATCTTAATGCAGAGTTGAAACAAATAATGTTCATCATTAGTCTGTTTCAGGAATAGAATCACAGAATCATAGATGACTGTGGTGCTCTCACAATGTCTCTTTCCCTCTCCCTGCCCCCTTTCCCTTGTCTATTGTGTTTTTATATTAGACTGTAAGCCTTCAGACAAAGACGGTCTTGTTTTAATTGACGGTTTGCAAACCACTCTGGGAGACTTTTTGGCTGAAGAGCTGGATACAAATGCTCTAAATAAGTAAATGTTACTGTACTACAGCTCCCATCATCCCTAACCTGACCAAGTCACTGATCAAAGCTGTAGTCCAACCACATTGTCTACCCTTGCTGTATTTCAGTGTGCATGTGTGTGCGCGCGCGCACACACACACACACACACACACACTGAACCATTTATATATAATGATACAGTGAATATATTACCTTAGTAGCAGAGTCCACTGCAGAACCTCTTTCCAGCAATTCCTGAACCAGCCCCACATGGCCTTCTTTGGCAGCCAGGTGTAGAGCATTGAGTCCATTCTGCAAGGAAAAAATAAAAAATAACAATCCTCACATTAATCACAAACTCCCATTTGGCCCCTCTTAAAGGGCTAAAACCCTAGTGGTATAGCACAGGCTTTGAATACAGAAAATCTTAGCTGCAAGCACAGACATCAGCAGCTAAAAAGTCCTCAGCTGGCACAGCCACTGCCAGTCAGAGACTGGGCTGTTGTCTCATCCCAGTCACATATGAAGCTCCAGGTCCCACATCCAAAGTATGCACGGTCATGCCGTCCACCACGTCCACCGCACAAACACCTACACATCTCTCTCAACATTTGCAAATACAATTAAGAAATTTTGAGGCACAGAAGGAGATACCTTTGAAATCTCAAAGACTCTGCCCACCCATTTCCCATGGGAGTGTGGGGGAGACACAAAGGAAGCTACCTAGCAAACACAAGGCTGGACTGAATTCTAATCTCTATGACCTCTCCCTATCCCACTAATGTACTGATCTCAAAATGGGTAGGTTTCAGGAAGTTCAAAGGAGTCTACATAGTAGCACCGTCATTTAAACCTCCCAAAGTCTACTTGAAGCGAACCTTTGAGTGCAGTATATAAAACAAGAATTGGATGGGGTTTCTCTCATTTCTGTCCATTCAAGTGTTGAAAAGTCTTCTTGGCCCTCCCTGTGCTCAGAGTTACCTGGCTTGCCCGCCTCACATATTTGTTTGTTAAAACTATTTACCGTATTTTTCTCTCTAGAAGATGCACCCGACCATAAGACGCACCTAGTTTTTAGAGGAGGAAAACAAGAAAAGCCAGCAAGAGCCGCAAACACGCTCGCTTGGCGCAGCTCTTGTTGGCTTTTCCGGGAGGTGGGAGAAGGGACTGACGGGCTGCCCTCCATCCTTTCTCCCACCTTCCTGAAAAGCCAGGGCAAGCTGTGCAGCTATCGCTGAAGCCAGCAGAACAAAAGGCGCTGCGCAGCTCTTGCTGGCTTCAGCGATAGATGCGCAGCGCCTCTTCAGCAAAGCGGGAGGAGGAACGGAAGGGGCTCCGTACTCCCTTCCATTCCTCCTCTCACTTCACTGGGAAGCCAACAGAACAAGAGGCGCTGTGCAGCTCTCACTCTTGCTGTGCTAGCTTCAGTGATAGCTGCGCAGCCTGCATTCACTCCATAAGACGCGCATACATTTCCCCTTACTTTTTAGGAGGAAAAAAGTGTGTCTTATGGAGCGAAAAATACGGTACTATCCGCTCAGTTCTACAGCAGAGTACATAAACAATTCTTAAAATAAAACAACACCTTCTCTATCAGATACGCAGACTTAAAGGGGTGGTGGCTCTTTGTAAACGAATAAGAAATCAGATAATTTCTCAAACATGGATATTTAAATTCTAGCTACCAAAAGAAGCCACTTTATTCGCACCCAAAGAAAATGAAATGGCTCTAGTATATCCAACAACTGTTATTACTTTCATTATTTATATAGCAGCAAACCACTCTGACTGTCCCAGAAGATACCTAAATATCCAAAACTTTGACATAGTTTTTCTGGCTACTATAAATATATTTCAAGTGAGAGAAGTTTATTATTTTATCTGCTTGCTCTTGGGGAAATCCTAACATAACCACTTCTGGATCAAACAAAAGTTTTATTCCAAAAAATCATTCGAATAGTCCCCACTCCCAGTAATGAATAACTCCACCATACATGCATAGGCCTAAAGGCTGCATGCACACTATAAAGCCCAATAAAGTACATTTCTTCCCTCAAAGAATTCTAGGTGCCATAGTATGTTAAGGGATTCTGGATCCTCAATCTCCTTGCACTTGGTCAACCGGTCACTGTAGGTCTGCCTTTAATATAGGTGGCTTAATGCACATACATTAAGGGTAAAGGTAAAGGGACCCCTGACCATTAGGTCTAGTCGTGACCGACTCTGGGGTTGCGGCACTCATCTTGCTTTACTGGCCGAGGGAGCTGGTGTTTGTCCGCAGACAGCTTCCGGGTCATGTGGCCAGCATGACTAAGCTGCTTCTGGTGAACCAGAGCAGCACATGGAAATGCTGTTTACCTTCCCGCTGGAGCAGTACCTATTTATCTACTTGCACTTTGACGTGCTTTCAAACTGCTAGGTTGGCAGGAGCAGGGACCGAACAACAGGAGCTCACCCCGTCGCGGGGATTCGAACCTTCTGATTAGCAAGTCCTAGGCTCTGTGGTTTAACCCACAGCGCCACCTGCGTCCCTTGCACATACATTAGGAGGTAATAATTCCCATGCTGTCAAAAGCTTAACCAGCTGATTTCTGAAAATTAAACTATTGTTAAAGGGATAGGAGCAAATAGGCCTTCTTTTTGGTCAGTATGAGCCTTGTTTGTAAGGAAACATCTAAGCTGTTCAGAAAAATATAAAAGAAAACAATAGAAGTATGAATAAAAAGAGATATTTTAAAATATTCAAAAGATATTTATTTATTTTGAAGTAGGTGCAGTTAATTTCTACGGAAACCTACCTCCACATGGGATAAAATATTTTAATAAATAAAATAAGCCTACTTAGGATCTCCCAAATGCCTTACTAGCACACCTGGCTAAAACAGGAAATCTAGGAGATTTACTTACAACTATAGACCTTGGAATTCAGCATTAAATGAATTGACACAATACTGTACAGATTACATTAAAGGATCTATTCAGTTTTAATGATCAGTGGAAACAGCAAAAGGTCAGCTGGGCACAATCCAACCTATTTAGAAAAGAGGCTGGCTGGAAACCAAATGCTGTTTTATCTGATTAAATGGATCAAGGCAGCAGAAAACCACAGAGGGAAAGACTCATGTTGATTTCCCCATTATCCACCGGTCTATTCTGGAGGTCTGGGCATAATGATAAGAATAATAAAGTCTTTCAGCAGCAGAACACAAGGTTCAATGTTCTGTGAGCCTTTCAATGAAGAGCCCACTCTAGATTCTACAAAAAAATAGTACCGTGAACCTACAGAAAGGGAAGGAGAAAATGATGGAGGGAAGAGAAACGAAAAGAGCAGGGTTTGGCTAATGGCAGGCTTTTTCACGTGATCACTCTTATCTTAGATACAGCACCCTCTTAACTAACTTTAGCCCTGTATTTGTTTATACAACCCAGGACTCAATCCATGGTTGAAAGTGGTTCCAAGTGAGGACAAGTGCATCATGACTAAGCAGTGATTATTTCTTAGCAGCTCTGTTGCCATGAAGTAATTCCATCTGTAAACAATGTCAGTTCTTCAGGTGATCAGATGTGGGAGGAGTTTGCAATTTAATTACAAGGGCACGCTGCTCTGTGAGTGACCTAGGAAAAGTGGTACTGGTGCTTTGCAGAAACAACCAGGGATTCACTTCCCCACATTAGAAAAATAACAGCAAATAAGGTTGCTAGTTTAGATAAAAATCAAGGCTTACTCTATCCATATCTGAGATTTTGCAAATGCCATGCTATTTTATCAGATACCTTCAATCACAGCAAAAAAGTGAAGAATCATAGAATTGTAGAGTTGGAAGGGACCACAAGGGTCATCTATTCCGACCCCCTGCAATGCAGGAATCTTTTGCCCAATGTGTGGCTTCAACCCACAACCCTGAGATTAAGAGTCTCATGCTCTCCAGACTGAGCTATCTGCAGGATCTGAAATAGTTTTTCTTCAGACAGAAAATTATTCTTCAGGAAGAATAAGAACATAAGAAAAGCTCTGCTGGATCAGATCAGAGGCCCATTTAGCCCAGCATCCTGTTCACCGAGTGGTTAACCAGGTTTTATTTAACAAATTTAAAACCACTTCATAGCATGAAGCCATTAAGAAGTGTACAATATACTTATGGAAAGCACATAGGCAGGACCCTAGTGAAACAGGACTATCCCCAAGTGTGATTCTCAACAAGGGGTATAAATAATGAGGCATATTGCCTCAGGTGGTGGAGGTAAAACATAGCCCTCGTGGCAAAGAAGCCCTGAACTTGTTTAAAGCCATTCCTGTTTTACATCCATCCTATTATCTGTAAGAAAATGAGAATAAAACTAAGAATATACGATTGCCTAGTGTTTCTTCAGAATGAGCATTAATGAAGTATCTATTTGCTTTAAGGATAAAGCAAGTAGGCTGTATGGAAAGCCAAGACATTTGCTATTATATCCTTTTTCAAATGTATTTTCAATCAAAAATGTAGCAAATGTGAGATTTGGTAACTAGAGAATTATAGATAAGAGTACAGAGGGGAAGTGGATATTATGTAATTAGACAGGGACAAAATACACATCAATAACTTCTACTTACACACAGACTGAGAAAGTGTGAAAACACATTAAACATGGCAAACAATTATTTTAACAACTCATCCTCTCTGAACATTAAAAACTGTGTTTGACAAAGAGAGCATACAGCTCTGACCCCCTGGTCCCAGGCCTAAACCAACATCACATCAGCTGCACTACAGTGCTTGATCTTGGCAAAATTGAAGTGTCTGTTCTGGAATGATTATAGTTGGAAGCTGCTGCATGACATGAATCATACATCCAGTTTGATCCATACAAAGAACATTGACCAAGTGCTCATCTGATCATAGCACTGGTATGTCATATCCATACAGCAAACACAATTCTCTTCAGATAAAATATCTCAGATCAGCTAACATAATAATGGGGAGTAACTCCCACTAAACTTTGTATGGGTTACTCCCACGTAAACATACTTAAGATGTTAATCCCCATATCGGGCTTTTTGAAAAAAAAACTATTTTTTCTTTCTCAATTCACTTGTATAGATTTGAAATAAAGCAAATGCATGACCCTTTGCATGCACTGAGGCTGTTCCCAGGATGAAACAAACTACCGTATTTTTCGCTCTATAAGATGCACCAGACTATAAGACGCAACTAGTTTTTGGAGGAAGAAAACAAGAAAAAAAATATTCTGAATCCCAGAAGCCAGAACAGCAAGAGGGGTCTCTGCTTTTGCTGCGCAGCAATCCCTCTTGCTGTTCTGGCTTCTGGGACAGCTGTGCAGCCTGCATTCGCTCCATAAGATGCACACACATTTCCCCTTACTTTTTAGAAGGGAAAAGGTGTGTCTTATAGAGCAAAAAATACCGTAGTTAGCATTTGAGCAGTTCTGATTACTGCAGGTGTCCATTAGCTACTTGATTCTATCTGCTCCAACACACATTGAGCTTCCCTCTAAAAATACCCTACGAAGTGTTTACTTGCTGCCTGATGCTACACAGAAATAGCAAGGGAAACCTCAGACTTCCGCACTTGGGATCACTGAACACCAGGTGCATTGTGGAGGAAGATACACTTGATTTGTAGAAAGCAAAAGGGACACACCATGCCCAAGAGCAAAACAGAAGCATTCCAATTTCCATAAAAATCAATAAAATATGTCCCTGCCAGTATATACTACTGCCCTTGAAATTTTGATTGAAGAGGAGTAGGTTCATATCTACTAGGGGAATTAAATTTGGGGGTGGGAGGGAATCTCTCAATCTAGAATATCTGTGTGGGCAAACATCACAGGAGCTGTTTAAGCATTTGATAAAAGTTGACCTCATCCCTTCCTACTGACATACAGGAGGCATGATAATAATCTTGAGACTTCTGGCTTTTACCTTTCCTCTGCAAAATCAGGAGATTATAATTGTAGGAGAGATAAGACTCACAGGATGCAAAGTTGCTAACATGCTTAAAATCTTTTTTTAAGGAGAGACCCAGGTGTTCTATCTTGCTTGCGATCAGAATATAGATGAAGTTCTCTATAAGAAGAACTGCCTGTTAACTAATTTAAACCTATTCTGAGCCACTGATCTACTATTAATCTCCATGTAAATGCACTATAGAGCAAGCGGCCACCTTTTGTTGTTATTTATCATGTTTATATGGGACGCGGGTGGAGCTGTGGGTTAAACCACAGAGCCTAGGGCTTGCCAATCAAAAGGTCAGCGGTTCGAATCCCTGCAACGGGGTGAGCTCCCGTTGCTCGGTCCCTGCTCCTGCCAACCTAGCAGTTTGAAAGCACGTCAAAGTGCAAGTAGATAAATAGGTACTGCTCCGGCAGGAAGGTAAACGACGTTTCCGTGCACTGCTCTGGTTCGCCGGAAGCGGCTTAGTCATGCTGGCGACATGACCCGGAAGCTGTACGCCAGCTCCCTCGGCCAATAAAGTGAGATGAGCGCCGCAACCCCAGAGTCAGCCACAACTGGACCTAATGGTCAGGGGTCCCTTTACCTTATCATGTTTATAGTATTCATTAACTATGCAGTCAAAACATACAGAGACTCTATTTAAATGTTCCTTTCCTGATAACCATGAATAATGGTAACTACCGAAATCACAGACTGGGCTTTTGCAAACCTAAATAGACTGATCTGTCCTGGACAGGAGAGGGGGCTAAATTGGGATTTTTTTTCTTTCTCTTTTTGTTGTTATACGTTGGAAATCAATAAAAACTATATTTGTTTGTTTGTTTGTTTTTTGTTTGTTTAACAGTTCACATAATAAAATTGTAGATAAAACAGTGAAAATTGTGTGTGTGTGTGTGTGTGTGTGTGTGTGTGGCTCACAGGAATATCTTTCCACCCCACCTTCAGCACTCAATTCAATGTAGGGGGAAGGAAAGGCCAGCAAAAGAAAAAAAACACTCCTTCCCTTCTTCCTTCTACCCAGTTCCTTCTGCAGTTCCCACTTGCATATTATGCCAAAATCTGTAAATCATGAGCCACTTACCTGATTACATGTATTGATGTCTATTCCTCCCTTCAGATATTCCACAACTTTGTCCAGATTGCCAGCCCTGGCAGCTCTGAGGAAGCTTGCATTGCTGTCAGACTGTGAAAATAAGCAAGAGGATACTATTACATTTCTTCTTCAAAGGTACACAGCACAAGTATGACCAAAGAAAGAACCTGCATATTTATGTTACTGAAGTTTCAGTTCCAATAATTTGCACTCCTGATTTGGGCATCCCTATTCTAATACAGATAATTTACTACATGCTGTGGTGTGCATGTATCCATATGGAAAGCCAATAATCAAATATTTCACCAATATTTCTCAACAATGTTTTCCCAAAATATCCTCAACCTTGTTGCACCTCACTGTCATCGCCCCCCAACTACTGTACCTTAGCTGGAAATTTTAAAGCATACCAATACGCATACGGTTCTTCTGCACTTGCAAAGATCTGGCTAATGTGTGGACATCTGGAAAAGGGAGCAATGAAGTGTGGCAACATTGGGGCAGCATTAAGTGTATATATGGAAGCAATGTCTGAACCGGTCGAATGGTTCAATGTGGATCTGAGCAGCAAAAATTTGTGAGAACACAGTCTAAGTTGAGCCAAAAAGAACTATGACTTTTCCCCCAGGTAGAAATATAAGTGATCAGTAAAAAATAATAAAACAAAATAGCATCCAAAAGATACAAAATTACCACCACTACAGTTACTCACACCTGTTATAATCTTGTCAAAATGCCTAATTATAATAATATACTTTGCTTTTCACATGATTCAATTGATTCACAAGACAACAAAAGACTAATATTTGGCTGGTTATTACAACAGATTAGGTCAAACCTTGTCCTTTTCTTCTGTGTCTATCTACGCCAGGGATGGGGAACCTGTGACACTCCAGTTGTTGTTAGACGCCAGGTCTTATCAGTCCCAGAAAGCACAGCCAATAATGGGTGGCTACAGGCACCCCAGCCCTGAGTTCGCCCTTCATAGTTGCTGTCCGCAAGCATCTCCCATCTCTTTTCCCTCACCTTGATCTACAGCACACAGATCTTCTTCAAGGTTTTTGCCACTCCAATCTCATTGATCCCTTCCGCCATCAACTCCCAGCCCTGATTCATTCCTCTGCTCCTCCACCCATCATTCCCTCAGGTTCAAGCTGCACAGCTTACTGTCTTCTCTTCTGTAGCCATTTTGCCTCCTAAGGAATTAGATTCACTATTTTCTTGGCTTGCTTGTGTTGTATGCCCCATTACTCCTTAGGGCTCCACTTCATTGCCCTTTTCTATCAACAGGACGCAATGCCCCCACCCCCAAAAAACAACCCTGTGTGAGGGGTTTTCTCCCAGCTCCAACTGACTTTTGCTTCCTTAACAAAGGGATAATGTTGGTCAGATGGACCTCGTTTCCCAGCAGATAGAACATTAAATCTCTTCCGTGGTATCACAGCTACTCAATCAAAGACTTAGATAAACGCTCAGAAAGCTTCAAAGTGTTTCATTGCTATATGTACAGACAAGAGAATATTTGTCCAAGTATACCACCATGTGAAGCACAATCCTATCCATGCTTACTCAGAAGCAAGTGCCAGTAAGTTCTTTCTTTCTTTCTTTCTTTCTTTCTTTCTTTCATCTGATTTGTATATTGTCCTTCATCCAAAGATCTTATAGTGGTTCACAGCATAAAAATACAAGATCAAAATACATAACAAAAACAAAACAATAAACCTCCCCATTGAGACAAAATACAACGTAAAAGTGTTTGTGACTGCCGCCTTAATTTCACAATGTTGCTATTGACCCCCCCCCCCACACAACTGAAGGGCAGATTGCTCAAAAAACACAACCACACAAGGAGCACGTACATGCACTGATAGGCAAATGTAATTGTGAGTCCCCAGTTAGGGAGTGTGCCAAATGATTTATTTCCCAGAAGAAAGGTAAAGAATAATGATATGTCAGGGGCACTGTGGAAACTTAAATCATTGTTCCCTGCCCAGCACTAATCAGAACTCTGCTAGGTGCCCACTGGTGAAAGTGGGGGTCCTCAGTAGTCATGTTGCTGTGGTCCCCTCCCAAACCTGGAGACCTGGTTTTTTTTGGGGGGGGAACAGGATACAAAATAATTCTTGCTTGTTTGGACTTGTCATTAGTGGAGCAAAAAAGGCACTTGGAGGATTTGTCCTGGTCCACTTCCACCAGGGTAGTACTTTGAATACCCCAGTAAAGTAAACCTGTCCATGAGAAATGAAGGAAGGTGACAGTCATGCTGTTATACCACACTTAATGCACATATTCTTGCACCTAGAAATGGAAAATTAAGGCTGAAAATGGGATTGCAAACTTTAAAAAACCTTCTAATACTGCCCTTCCCCCTGAGAGAAATAGGAAAACAACACTGATTCTCTGCTCATTGTACTCTGGATTTTACCCAAGAACACAAAGATATAGAAATACTTTAAGGAGATCCTGGTGCATATTACAGGCTCCTCAGCATCAAGAAACCAGACCACCCAACTTAACACACTGCAAGGAGGAGAAAAAGGCAACACAAGATATTTGCATTGCAGGAGTCTTTTTCTAGCATTGAACATCAGCCAGTGAAGCTCTGTAACCATGACACAGCAGCAGTGTCTGTCAAACACTTGAAAGCGAGGCGATCTACTGCCAGAGAAGACTTTGTGCAATGCAGCAGACTTTTTTATTACAAGCGCAGAAACTGAAAGCAGAAATCGATGATGAAACCTGGTTTTTTGTGCTTTCACGCTATACCACAGAGCACATACTTTTCATGATAAAGTATGGCAATGTTGCATTTAAACAATATTGCTGCATTTTTTTCCACAGTTCTTTATTGGTTAACATTGCCTTGCAAGCATTCAATAGGGGGGAAATGAGCATGGCTTGGGGGCAGAGTGCTACTGTGATGGTGAACTCTGCTCTAATCAATCCATGTTCATTAGCACATCTGTAACCCCCCCCCATATAGCTGAATGCACCAAGGGTCTGCACAGCTGGGCTGCGTAACCTGCAAAAGCAGGAAACCTCATCATGTGGAGAGGTCCCAATGCACACACACATAAGTGTTTACACAAAAAGAAACCTGAATTCTTGCTTCCGAGATAACCGGTGGAACAGAGGCAGCATGGTTTTATATTTTGATTTTATTTTATTCTGTGAACCGCCCTAAGACCCTTGGGTATGGGGTGGTATATAAATCATCATCATCCACAATGATGTCAAGCCCAGGCTAGCGTGGAGCTGAGGAGTGTGTAAACACAACAACGAATGATACATCTGCTTTCAGTGTGCACATGTGGTTCCCAGCCAAGTGACAGAATTCACATATAGAAGCTTGCTTCCCTACACAGATTTCTCTCTTGGTAGAGTATGATGAACGTTATTTCTTTTTATTAACAAATTCAAAGCTGAGCATGCAAAAAACTCTACCAGTTCTTTTCTTTAAAACAAAAGCCTGTGCTTCTTCCTTGAGTAGAGAATATTTTCACTCCAAGGGCCACAATCCCTTCAGGGCAACTTTACAGGGGCCCGAGGCTAAAGTAGGCAAAGCAATAAATGCAAACGTTTCCATTCTGCAGCAGGCTACACACTAACACACCCCTTTCTTTCCAGACAAGCAAGAAACATCATCAGAAATCAATGGTACATTCAGGCCAGGCAAAAACAACCAAAGAGAATGAAAGGTGAGGCTGTGGGAGTGGTGGTGTCATCCTGGCAAAAGTTCCAAGGACCAGACAGTGTGACCTAGAGGGCCAGACTAGAAGTTTCCCGCTCCTGTCCTTCAGAGAGCAGAAATAAATAAATAAATAAATAAATAAATAAATAATGGTTTGCTTCCTGAACTTATTGCTCTGCATATAGGAATTAAGAATGACTATTAATTTAATGTTGGTTGTTGACGTTAAGAAGTATTTTTTGTGTCCCGTATATTCAAACCCCCACTGCTGCCTTGCATTTCTTTTCATGCCACTAATTTGCAAGATGAGGTCTCCACAGTTACAAATGAAAACTGTCCTTAATCCACCTTAACGTGTTTATCTCTTGCTGTGCCTGTGGTGCTGGGGTCAGCCAACACTGAAGGATCCCTGGAACGTCTTTGCATTCCCCCTGGATTTGGCAATGGAGAGTCACCCTTACTTCTAAGTGACATTAATTTTCAGGTTGCATGTTGAGAGCTCAGATCACATTACCCAAGTCATCGGTTCAGTTGTAGCCAGAAGAAAACATATTACATGACAGTCAGAAACACTTAATTGATAGGTAATGCAGAGCTGCATGTTTTCTCCTCCCATCTTCAGAATAAAGGTAAGGAACTTCCAGCTTTTACCGCACAGTCAAATGTCACCACAAGAAGGAACTATTGTTCATGTGTGTTTTTAAGGTTCTTTTCTGGCTCACTGCCACTCACTGAGAGGGGGGCAAGGAAGTGGGAGGCCAGCATGGGGCAGGCACAGAATGGATGCAGGCTTGGGAGCAATGGATTGGCTCTGCCACAGGGCCAACCTTGAGCTCCTGCTGCCTTAGCCCCTGGCATGTTCAAAAGGTGGGAGAGCATCACAGTCTCACCCACACAGCCCCACAGGCCGCTGCTGCTGTGCCCCTCTTCTAGTGCTGCCACACCACAATTTCTGGATATTTTTGTGACTGATAAGAAGTGGCCTGAAGGTGGTAAAAATGAGAGGAGCATTCCTTTATAGCAGGTATGGAGATCCTTTGACCTTCCGGATGTTGTTGGAGAACAACTCCCATCAGCCTTGGCCATGTTCTCTGGGGATGATGTGAGGCACAGTTCAGCAACATCTGGAGGGCCAAAGTTTACCCCCACCTGCCTCATAATGACTCTGGTTCT